GGCAAAATTAAATGTACACAGAAGCAAGTGACTAGGGAATTCTGTGAGTTGAAGTCTTATACATCTCAAATTTGCTAAGTTTGAGAAACATTAGTTTAAAAGTACATCCGGATGTATTTTCAGGGGGAGGTAAGAGGGTGGGAAGTACAGGTTAAAATGATTTTAATGCATATAGTCACAGCTTGTTAGATTTGCACTGGGAAACTCCATGTCTCAATCTCAGAACTCATTGAATGGATTTCTCTTCTACTCTATTAACTTTCCTGTTGTTTGATTAAAATTAGGGAGAGCACCCCAAATTTCTTAGAGAAAAGTTGTTATAGAAAAGTCATAAACACATAAATAAGCAAGTGCCATTCAATTTAATGCACTTGATCAGGGGTGGGTTCCAGTGGTGGGTTCTGGATCCCATTGCAACCGGTATGCCCTTAACTCCTGCAATGCCTCTGCGATGCTCCAGCTGCTTGGCGGAGCATTGCGCAGGTGCCGTAGGCTCTGTGCGTGGAAGCGCTGAAGACCTCAAATACAGGTAAGGAGGGTGGACGGGCCCTCCAGAGCACTGTACTGGAACGGTACCTGGTGCTCCTAGCAAACACCTGTATGCCCGTACCGGGGCGTACCGCCTGCAACCCACTACTGGTGGGTTCCTATGCTAGTCGGTACCGGTTTGCTGTGTGCACACTTTACAATATTTTAAATTAAACTGTTTTTCAAAATCTAGAAAAAGTATATGTATGTACACACATGCACACGCACACATAATCAAGCAAAAGTTCCACAGTGTCATTTGGATTTTCGGTAACAATCAGATGAATGACATATTAATTCCAGAGCTTTAGTGGGAAAAGAGAGAGGAAACAAGACTGTTTTGTAATATGATCACTAATCTTAGCAGCAGAAATTTGCTGAGGAAAGACAGTTCCAAGCTGACCAGTTTTGCTGTTTTCTATTCAGTTCTCCCACTTTATGAAATAAGATGTCACTCCAATTTTCCCTTTTTTCCTTCTTCCACTCACAGCGGTAGTGTTATTAACTTTATTTTTCTCATTGTAAATTCCACTGAATCAGTTGGAATGCAGATCTAAGTAAGACAAACTAAGTAAGAGCTTGGATTCTCACTTAGAATGAAAGGCATTGTTATACTGAATAGTGTAAAATTTTGTTTATTTGTATTTACCACTTTAAACTTACAGATAACTGCAAGAATCTATTCTGCATTACTATTTTATTATAGAAATTCTCAAAAAATCCTTGATGAAACACTTTTTGGACTTTTAAAAATTTGCTTATTTTATGTATAAAAAATTAGTGGACAGATGTATGAAACCTCAAATTACATTTTAAAAAACTATAAATAGCAAAGAAAGAGGCCTGAACCAATTTTCAGTTTCTTATAATGCATACATAAGAAACCAAGCAGGAGAAATAGACTTACAATCTGATTTGAGGTGGTATCAATGTGATTTCTGTGTCTGCACATAATTTTTCAACTAATTTAGATGCAGAAGTTTTTTTGTTTATTTTTTTTAATTAGCAAGTAGACTGGGTACCATCACTGCATAATTTATCTGATTTAGTTTCTTGGCTATAACATAAAATTGCTTCCTAAGCTTCACAGTAAAGATTGCTATAAAATGCTAATGTAAAATTTGGAATAAAGCATCTATTATTTATGCCTTCTTTAGAGCCTACAGGGAAACAAATGCAGCAATTTTCCCATGCAGTGATATTTACAGTTTACTTTAATAAAATCTATTTGTTTATTTACTGAAATTATTACCCTACTTTTCACTATAAATGACACATATGGTGCTCATAGTAAGAAAAATAAAATAAAATAGATTAACAATTAAAACACTTAAAATACCATTAAAAGCATATCAATAAAAATAATACAACTCAGTTACAATGAACTCAACAGCTAGTCAAATTATATGCCAGAAAGAGACAGCTTGCCAGAAAACAAGAGAGAATTAGCCTAGCATTTTATATCAGAAAGTTCTGAAGCCTAGTTTAAACCTGTCAGATCTCTTAATCAAAAATTTCTACAATAATTGGAAGGGAAGGAAGAAGAGATGGAGGAAGGAAAGCTTCTTCTAAATGACGTTAAGTGTGTGCAAATGTGTAATGATAAATATATTATTTCAAAAACCTGATTCTAAAGGATGTAGGATTTAGGGCACTGTGCTGGTAAAAAGTCCTCCAGTCATCTCACTATTGCTGGCCTGAGGCAAATATTTTAGTAATATCACTGAACATTGTTCAATGTTTTAAAAAGGCTGCCAAATAATATAATTGCCATAATTTCCGTATTCCAAGGGAACATATCATCCTGGTTTAGCAAAAATTTCTAGAAATGTTTACATCTCTGCAGAGTCTGACATGCGCAAATCTTGGATGTTGAGATACGCAAATCCTGGCTGAATCTAGGAATGAACACAAACTATGATTTGTAACCCGATTTAGTGTAGGTTGCATCCTTATTCCTGGATTTGCATTTCAGTTTACAAACAGCACCTGTCTTGTTTGAATTAATTTCCAACAGGCTTTTCCTTTGCTTATTAAAATCAGATACCAATTTAGAATTTATTTTGTAGATTTTGAATGATGGGAAAGATAAAAGTATTGATAATATTAAAGGATTTGTTTAATCTCAATCCAATATTGAAAGGAAAACATTTGTACCAGTGTCCCTCAACCATAGCAATTTTAAGATGCATGGACTTCAACTCACAAAATCCCATGCTATTATGACTGGCTGGGAAATTCTGGGAGTTGAAGTCCATGCATCTTAAAGTTGGCAAGGTTGAAAAAACATTGATTTATATTCTGATCTTCTCCGCCTATGATTGTCAGAGCTCCATCCACCTTTCTTCTACTAGGTCTAGGAATTCCAAATAAAGGAGGGAGAGTAAGAGACAAGCTGTATAGCTCTATTCAGTATAGCAGAAATTAGCTCTCTTTAATTTAGTTTTCATATTTTAAGTCACTATCACCTCTTTCCAGTTTTCAAATATGTTACAAATATTGAAATCTGCAATTTTTGGGTGTGCTAATTTTAATGTTATGCTACATGATTTTTAGTAGTTTAAAGGGTATTCACTGCAAGATATTGCACGCAATTTTTTACAATCAATATCTTTGGCACTTTTGAATTAGAACTATTTTATTTCACTTTGATTGTCATTCTCAAATTAAATTTCCCTAATCATAAATTGCTATAAGCCATGTAGTGGATTTTATTCATAATGAAGAGTAATAGATACTTTCTACTTAATGGGAGATTAGGTCCCATGAAATCCTAAATTTAATAGACATTTAATAAGAGCTATATAGTCATAATGAAATGCTATTACAACATAATCCTATCTGTAGTTCACCTATGCTGGCTGGAATTCCTGGAAGTGGAATATAAAAGAAGTAGAAGATTGTTAATTTAAGGAAGGCTCCCATAAACATTGTTTTTTTGGAGTAGATCTGTTGAACAATTCTTACATAATAGTAAGATTCATACTTCAGACAAAGCTGTTCGTTCATACAGGTAGTCCTTGACTTGCAATCAAAATTGACCATGGCAATTATAGTCATAGGTTGTAATGGTCATATAGCAGGTCACTGTGAATGCTTCCCCAGGTGTCTCTCCAGATGAGGAGAGGAGGATGAGCCAGTCCCAGGCTTGTCAGGAAGAGAGGCAGCCAAGGGCTACGAGCAAGAAGTGGTGTGGCCGGATGAGCAGCTGGCTGAGCTAGAGACAGGAGAGACACAGCTTCAGCGGGGAAGCCCAGAGACTTCAGAGGGAGAGGCCCTGCAGCTTGTCAGTGGAGATGAAGAAGAACTGCCTCCTCTTCCAGATCTGAGAGCACCTAGGGCTGAGAGGAGGCAGGCACAACAAAGGTCAACCAGGCTACTTGCGAGGAGCAGCCTCACCCCCTTTTGATGGGCCGCACAGGGAAGCAGTTATTTAGCTCAGCAAGCAGAGTGAAATGATGCTGGGAAAAATGTGTCCATTTCTTTGCTGTGTGTTCTTGCCTTGAACTTCAGATCATGACTCTTTCGGCTGTGGACTCTTTGCCTTGTGGACTTGTCTTTGCACTGTGGACTAGTGCTGGATTCTTTTGAATAGTCTGTTGAACTCATCAGGAATGGGCTGGTCCTGGCACAAGGAATTGTTGGAGAATACTAATTCAGGCTTGGAACCCCTAATAAAGATCGTTGTGTAGGCGAGGAGAGAGACAGCACAGTCACCATGTGACTTGACCCGCTTTTATGATTTTTTTGGAGTAGTTGTTAAACAAATGGCACAGTTAAGTGACCTCATTGTTTGCTACAGACTGTTTTTTGTCAGAAATTGCAAGTAAACTTCTGCTTCTGTCAAAAACTGTAGTAAATCATGGTCATATGACTATAATGCACTGCAAACAGCCACAAATGTTGCTGAGTGGCCAAAAGGTGGTCATGTGACTACAGAGGGATGGTGTTGGAACTTCAAAAATTGGTCATAAGTAGCTCTTGACAATCTATTATAACTTTTGATGGTCGCTAAGCAATTGGTTGTACATAAGTCAAGGATTATTGTGCAACGTGCATAGACCAAAATACAATTGTTCCAGTTGTTTGGGGGAGAGCACAAAGGGCATCAGCAGTGCCAACCAAAAGAAGGCAGAAAAGTTGCCAGGAAGATTGGGAGTGCAATGATTAGGAAAAATGGGAGTGTGAGTATGTTGTACTGGGAGTTTCAGCACAACATTTTGAAATTCTGAATTTGGTTCTGCTGAATTATACTGGATTTCAAACATTTCTGCAGATGTCCTATTCAGTAATAGTTTGCTTTGAATTCAACATAAAATTTCCCATAAGCCTTATTAATTTGGATTAACAGAAGCATAATGGTCTACATTGATGAGACTGTGAGAAATTGACACATTTATATTCTGAAGCAGCTCTGTTCAAAAGCAAAATTCAGCAATAAAAAACTCATGAATACGAACAGCTATACTTACAGTTTTCTTCAAGATTTTGACAGCAAAAGGCTTTTGGGTTCCTTTTTGCCTGCACCTGTAGACAATAGATGTAGCACCCCTGAATGAAAAGACAAAGAAAGACGTATCATTTAGTTGGTAATAAATTTGTAGGAGAAAACACAGATTTACCTCAAAACAATGCTAGCTTCAAAATCTGACATTTGGAGTCTTAAATGGGGGAAAAGTAATATTTCTCTGAATTTCCCCTGTACTGCTCTTGTATTTTCAGTTTTGACTCAAATAATGAATCAAAAACTTTGTGCTTTTGTGACTAACTTTTTTCTTAGTCAAAAATTTACATGTTTTCAAAAAATAGAAGAAAATGGGAATTTGCTTGTCCCATTATTAAAGTATATTTAATGCAACAAATATTAAAATATTTCATATTTTAAAAGAAGTTATGAGATACACTTAATCTAAAAAAAAACCAATATGATCAATAAGACTTTACAGCAGAGATGCTTGAGTCAGTAATACTTGGGCCATTCAACATTGTCAAACATGTCTACTGAGAATCATCCTATAATAACTGCTATATTTCCTCCATTCCTTAGTCACTTAATCCTTCCTTATTCAAGGCAGTCTTTGACAGATACAATTCTTTTCTCAAGAGGTTTTAAAGGAGATTTTTCTTGTTTAACTCTTTTAGCTCTTTTAAGCAGATTATGCTTAAAAGCAAAGAGAAAAACAGCAAATTCAATTCATTTATTTTTAGTCACAGCCTGTTTTTATATATATATACATACATACATACATACATACATACATACATACATACATACATACATACATACATACATTTCTCTTTCTTTTTTGGTCTTATTAAAACAATATAATTTATTTTTAAGCCTATCCAATTTGATCTAGTAAAATCCAGAAGGCCACTAGATGGGAGCAAAGATAACACAAATTCAAATTCTTTATTGTTCCAGATCAGCCACCCAGACTAAATAAGATTTGCTAAATATAACTACCAAATACAACCTAGAAAATAACATTCAAAATAAGGCATACAAGGAAAAAAATGTATGATCACACTTGCACTGTTTTGCTATTGACAATCTGCAAGTTTTATAAATGGCACAAATGTTGCAATTATAAAAGTTACCTTGGGATTCTTATCTACCAGTGAAAACGGAACACAAAATTTTTCAGTCCCTCCTAGAAAAAAGCTTAGAAGAGTAATTACTAGCTTTTTATATATATTTCAGGGCAAAGTTATACAAAAAAAATTCTTCAAAAGTAGTCCAGCATTTTTTATTCTTTAAAGTATATTTTATGCTTTAAAATATCACTTTACATTTGTTTAAGAAATTCCTCTTTTAGTTTTAACAATGCCACATTTGAAACAACTTCAATATTTAGGGAAGTGCATTTTACTACACCAAACTGGATATTATTTTTTTAATTCTTCCCAGGTTAAAGAATAATCTTCTCTGTAATATATGGGAATCTGATAGGACAAAGCTGATAGAATTAAGCCATGGAACTAGTCCTACGGTTTTACAAATCCTTGGTTGTATTTCAATGCTAGTTTATGCCTAAATGATAACAGATATGACAAAGTCTGGTTTTAATCACTTTCTGCTGCATATACATTGGTTATTAATTCCATACAATATGCCAATAAGAGTTCATTAATAGTGAAGTTAGCTGTATGGGATATACCTCAGCTAATTATGCTAAGATATTAGGACGCTTGACTTTAAGGGAAAAGATTCTTCAGAGGGCATATTGGTGTGTGTAGAGGAGCTGTCAGCAACTTCATAATCCAAATACCGTATTTTTCGGAGTATGATGCACCTTTTTCTCCCCCCAAAAGAGAGTGAAAATGTGGGTGTGTCTTATACACTGAATACAGCATTTTTGGCCTACTGAAAACCTGCCCCTTTGCAGAAATGGACCTGCAGAGGGTTTGGGAGGCTTGCAAAGTGCTCCTGGGGGCTGGGAAGGGCAAAAACAAGCAAAAAACAGGCCGTTTTTGCTTGTTTTTGCCCCCTCTGCCCTCTGGAGCACTTTACAAGTCTCCCATAATCTCAGCATGGCTCTCCCTTTTTTTTCCCTGCAAAAAATGAGGCGTGCAGAGAGTTTGGGAGGCCTGTAGAGTGCAAAAGCTTTTTTTTTTAATTACCTTTTCAAAATCATGGTGCGTGTTATACTCTGGTGCATCTTATAGTCTGAAAATACAGTAGGTTCTTTTCCTGCAATTGTGCTGCAACTGCAGGGAGCAGTCACACAATAGCAGGAAAGAATTGCTGCTTTAAGAAGTTGCTGACAGCGCTACCCAAGGACTCCTGCGTGTTGCGAAGTTGTACACAATTCTATTGAAATTTCTATATTAACATTTCTATATTGTTATTATTTTTAGACATTTTTGAAATTTTAAATTATACAGATGATTATGTAACCATCTAGAGAAGGATGGCTTGAGAGTATATGAATCTTTCTGATGCACGCGAGCACACAAACACAAATCTTTTATATAAAATATAGAAGATAGGAAACAAATTAAGGCAGAACATCCCAAAGATGCTTTGCAAAAAGCAACTCAACTTTCTTGGTTTTGTTTCCTTGAAAACATTTCATTTCTCATCCAAGAAGCTTCTTTAGAACTTCTTGGATGAGAAGTGAAACACTTAATGTGCAAGCAAATTCCTTTTGATCATAAAAAAATGCTCTTCTTCATTGCATCGTGAAGGTGCCAATACCCCATACTGATGCCAGCTGAACTAAAGCAGTTTAAGAAAATTCTGTTTGGATTGGAATGCTGGTTACCTTGATCTTACCCTGAACAATTTCCTGACAGCTATGCCTTCTGAAAGCAACTCCTAATCATTTTCCTTTATTTTTGTGGGGTTTATTGAACATGTACTGCATACTTTTTTTAAAAAAGTGAGTAAATACTAAAATGACTTATTACTGCATTTACCAATGTACCATGAAGAAAATTGCAACCCTGCTCATCCCGCTATGTCCCCAGGAAGAGACTGCTCACCCATCAACCCTTAATTCCTCTCACTAGCCAGCATTCAAGTCACTTTCCTGTCCTTCCTTTGCTGCCTGCCGCTGTTAAAATATTTCAAATTTTGGCCTTGGATCCAAAGTAGCGAATCACTGCTCACCCATTCAGCCTTGTTGCCACCTGATTGGGCAAAGGGGCCAGCAAGAAGCAGAAAAGAGGACAGAGACAGCCCCCTCCCATCTTCCCTTGCACCACACAACAGAAATGTAGTCAGAAATGACTGACATTTCATGAAGTGGCCACAGGTGTATCAAATTTCAATCCCATGGGAGCCATGGATCCTGGATCTTGGATACATTCTATAAATTAATCGATTTTAGGTACATTGATTCAAGAATTATTGCCCTGTGATACACTATTTTGCCCAATCTGAGGGCTACAAAGAAACAAATACAAGATTTTTAATAGTGTATAGATCCATGACGACGAACATATGACATGCAGAGCCCTCTCTGTGGGCACATGAGCCATTGCCCCAGCTCAGCCTCACCACACATGGGCGCGTGCCTACTGCTGGCCAGCTCACTTTTGGGTCTCTGCCGTGCATGTGCGGGGGTGGGGTGAATGCGGGAAATGCGGATGCATGCACAGGCGGACTGGGGGGTCATGCACACATGCACAGGGGGATGGCATTATGTATGCATACGCAGGGATGGGGGGAGAGCAGGGGGGTGCAGTGCCCCCAGCCTGTTTTTCATCCCAGGAGGCTGCAGGGAGGCCTACTAGGCCAAAAATGGGGCATAGGGGGAAGGGGAGAGTGGGGATGTCACACATGAATGTGCATGGGGGGCACATGTGGGTGTCACACTCATATTGCATTATGGGTTTCCGGCATGCAATGACAAAAAGGTTAGCCATCAGGGGTATAGATAGCTAAATAATTTTATAGCTTAAAAAGGCATGCTCACGTAGTAGAAACATTAATATTTCAGGTAAGAAGGCTTAATCTCCAAATTGTAGAGATATCATTATACACACCAATTTACTACATTTCACACCTGTCTGAAGTCAGAAGCTAGAAAGAAGGGGGAATGGCCATATAGTTTAACTAGATCAGGGGTGTCAAACCCACAGCCTCATGGCGCTGTCACATGACGTATTGGGACTTTTCCCCTTCGCTAAACCCGGTGTGGGCATGGCAGCCCGGTCGTTTGATAGGCCTGAACTAGATGCTGCTCACATAGTAGAATGAGAAAGTAACCTGACTTGGAGATACTATGTAAATAAAAAACAATGAACTTATTCACATTAAGGTCCATGTCTGTTTTGTCTGCACAATCCTTTAAAAGCTGTCACAGAAAAAAGAAAATAAAGCTCTTTTCTGCAATGATTTAAAAAGATGAGGCAATGTAATCATAGATTATGCTATTGGAACTATTGAAACAGTCACTGCAGCAGAAATTATGAAGCCAAATGTGGTAAAATGCAAGAAACACTCCCCCCCTCAATGCATGCTATTGTAGGGCTGAGGGGGCGTTCCTGCCACTTTGTGCAGCAACCAAAAACAGCAGAGGGCTGCCCAGAAGAAATGAAAATGTGGCAGGCAAACCAGACAGCAAAGTTTGAGCTGCCAGAAGCCAGAAAGGACTACTTCAAACATAGAGGAGGAAAACAGAAGTTGAAGATGCATTTGCAGTGGTCTGGCAAAGGACATCTTTAGCCATTCCTGCTTTGCAGAAATGGCTGTTATTTCATACTCAATACTGTGGTGATTGTAGGACAGTAACAATATTTAAAATTGTAACACAAATACCATAAAATCACAGTGCATATCTGATGCATTTTGACAGAGTGCGCATAGTGTGACTAAGTGAGACAACCCAGGAGCAAATATACTGAACAGAGGTTTGTATTTAAATAGTGGTTTTATCTACAACGAATGTATACATACACATACTTTAGACAGACCTCAAACTAACAGCAATCAGGAATTACAGCACAGAAGCATGCATGGAAAGAGAAATACACCACAACAGGGCCTCTTCTTATAATAGGCTCTTAAAGTTATAACAGCCCCAAAAACCTTTCTGACTCATTCCCAGCATTATATCATTGTAGCAGCTGGTCAACTCTTAAATCATTGCCCTGTCACATTTGATGTAGTTTTTAAAATAGATATTATAGGACTTTTATATGCAAAGATTCTGTGCACCTCATTTTGTGAGTGCTACACAAGTATTACTACTTCTAATTAAAGGTAGTCCTTGATTTATGAACTATCATTTAGCAATCATTCAAGTTTAGGACAGTCTCAGAAAGGGTGCTTTAAGGGGCTGTAACACTTCTAGCTGTCATGAAATGTCACACTGTCCCTTCCCCCTCAATCACATGATTGCAAGATGAATATTTGGTAACCTATTTGCACTTGCAGCTAGTTTGTCCAACACCTTGTGATCATGTATTTGCATCTCAGTGTTTACCAAGCTGAGTTCACACTCTGCAGGTCAACAAAGGAAGCAGGAGACAATTCTTAATTAAACTATCTTCGGTGTTATTCTCAAGAGATAGTCAAGACAGACATCAGTAGAATATCTGCTCACTACTCAAGAATTTTCAAGAGGCAAAAGAAGCAGGAGAGGTTTTATACTCAGGTATACTGTGGTTTAGGATTTTCAGAGAAAGATATAGATCTCAAGAGTATCAGAGTATCAGAGTAGATGCCCACCATTGTGTTTGCTTCTGTGATTTCAATACAAATAGAACCAATTTTAAATTAAAACCGGGAGATCCAAAACTAAAGTGATTTCAGCAAACCTACGAGACTGTCCAAGTTTGCAGGAACTAAAAGAAAATAAAACCTAGGTGCCTCCAAAAAAAGATAAGGATCTGTGTCCAATAGTTTCAGATGCATAATATTGGAGCAACTGAGCCAGGTAATATTATGGGAATCAGTTGGAAATTAAAATGTAAAATAAGGAATTGGTTGAGTTCTTAATATATTAGACAATTTTGGAGTTTCCGGGGGGCGTGGCCTGTTGCCGAGGAGGGTTCCACCGAGCTCCTCAGAGATCTGGTCTGTATATCTAAATA